AGTTTTGTATTTTATAAGAGTTGGGGGGGTTGTTGGTCATCAAACATGGTGTGAGTCAAGAAAATTAAGCCAGTTTATAGCTGTCTAAGAAGCTAACACAACCTGAGGAAAAAAAAAATCTCACTTCAGGGTGATACTACAAAGATTCAAATGGATTTGGAGAACTGCAACTAAAACCCTTTAAGGGGAGATGACATGCTCTGTACCTGTAGGGTAAAACAGAGCGAGGGCTCCAGCAGTGACTCACACGGAGATGAATCACGGCTCTGCATCGTGCCACATGGCTACCAGGGCAAGGTTATGAATAAACTTCACATACCATGAAATATAGGATGCCTTTCCCCGCCACACACTCCCTCTGATAAGCTGAGAAAGCAGGCACCTAAGTATATACTAACGAATATGCAAATTACCTTCCTAATGAGGTAAGTGCATTGTCCACCAGAGAACATGGTGGACTAAGCAAATGCAGTAGCCCTTTGGGGTTTTGTACCTCCTGCAGCCACCTCCCTGCCTCTTGCTGATGTATTGGAGCCTGCCCCTGCGCACAGGGGGTTCGCAGGCAGAATACTGAAACCAACAAAACAGAATTATTAAAATTCAGAGCTTTCAGGCAACAGCACAGTTTGCCTTTAGCACAGATGAACTCTGTGGGCTGAGTCCAGTTCCTCACTGAGCCAAGGGACTGCGATGGTACCAGGGCAGGTTTGGGAAGCCGCTCTCGGAGTCCCATGGTGCTGCTTCCCAGGACAGCCTGGATGTGTAGCCTCAGAGCTAAGTCCTTGCTCCAAGCCATTGTGAAATTTATTTCTGAATTATTCTGAGTGTAGCTACACAATGTATCTTGCAGTTGCTTACTGCCTGGCCACAGCCTTGTGCCCTAAGCCAAAATATATGCTAGTCTGGGAGACAGAAGAACCTGGGAATGCAGGTGTAAAACAATAATGCTGTGAGCATGAGAACTGAAGAAGCTTGACTTCCTATGGATTTGTTACTTTTTGTTGGCTGCAGGATCTGAGAAGTTACTAATGCTGATTTAGATCTTTCTCCTAATGAGGCATGAAGAAAGCCTCTCTCCTGTGGATCCTTTGGTGTTGGAAAAAGATAAGCATTGCACTTAAGCTTTTTTTCCCCACCTAAGGTGTGCTTAAGGTCTCTCTTCTTCACCTTACCAGCTATTTTTGTGACATTTGTAAGAATGTACCTTTGAGACTGTTTCCCCTCAGTCAAATTTGCTCAGAAGTTAATAAGCCTCATGTAGTTAGGAAATCAGGCTAAAGCAGAGCAACTATCACGTCTCTCTGAATAAAGAGAACAATACTATTGCTGCTGAGACCTTCCCCACTTGCAGAAGTATCATTAGGATCTAGTTGCCATGGCTGGCTTAGCTGTTCAGCAGCTAAGCAAGGATGTGGTGTGAGTGAATATGAGAGTGTTCTGTGATGGATTTATCAACAGCAGGAGAAGAAACGGTCACTCAGGCTGCACGGTGTAGTCCACCTCATTCTGGTACTTGTCAGGAGGGAACAGGAGGACTATTTCTCAGCCAGTGTGCAATGCCTTGCCGTGATCAGCCAATGGACTATTTCGTGAAACAGATGTACAAGTTTCAAGGAAAAATCCCTTCTTTTTCCAGAGGATTGGTGGAGAAACAGTAAGATACCTGCTGCATAATCTCTCCACTGGGAAATTCGCAGTGTGTTACAGCTGTGGATGTTCTCACGGTAGTGCAGTAGGCAGAGCCTTTAAGCAAGCTGCAGGGAGCTTATTTACAAGTGCTTTCCTCCTACTGAGAGCCTCTGTGATATTCTGGAGCAGAACAACAGGCGATCGTCGATGTTTTCCCGTTTCACAGACTGGCTAGCCTGTGTTCTGGAAGGGCCAACACTGTCTCTTGTATGCAGCAAAAACAAAGCTGTGTGTATGGGAACGATGGACAGGAGGATTTTAAAGCTGAGTAGTTTCACACCCACTGCACCTTCTATGTTTTCTGGGGTTGTGGTGATGTGCTGTGTCCGATCAGAAAGTGGCTCCGTGCTCCTGCAAGAGTACTCTGCATGGATTTATTTTACTCTTCCAACTAGTCCTTCAGGGTCCCTTTTCTCCAGAGAAGAGAAACTTTAATCACATTTTAAACCAGTGGTAGTAAATGCTTTCTTAAGTGTGGGTTCTGGAGGACTAAAGGACCGTTTACTTCAGAACTGCTGACCCATAAGAGTAACTAGCAGTCAACACCTTATGCTTTGAAGGTAAGGCCTTTGGCCTCCCTGCAGCTGTTTCACAGAGTTGCTGTTTGCCAGAAGATGCATGAAATGAGTTTGTTCAAATGATAGATTCTCCTGAATGAGAGATACATTAAGCACACGACTTCTCTCCTTGCTTCAGAAGGCAAGTCCAGAGGGAATGGGTTGGCTGCAGGACTACTGATCTGATGTAGAAATATTCCTCAGTTTAAGAGCAGGCACCTAAAATGTGAGGAATAAATGTTGTTAGCATGCAACGGATGGTCGCTGACATGTTTTCCAGCTGTCACAAGCCTTTTGAAATTCTTCTGTTGTATATGCCAGAGTTTCACCTTTGTGCTGCCAGGCTGTATGCAGAATGACAACTGCAGGTAGAAGTATTCTACAGGACTCTATAGGTAAAGAGAATAAAGCTGAATCAACAGAAGAGGATTAGTAAATCTTGAATTAGTATGTGCACCTCAGACATCATGATTAGGATATTTCACATTAAATTAACTTTGTAGAACAATTTTCATTGCATCAAGCCTTTAATTGTTGTCTCTAACCTCAGGTAAGAACCGAGTCACTGGCAGCATCTATCTCAAGGACATTTTCCTGACCCTGACGCTAAATTGCAACACATAAATGTCTTTTGCTTGGTACAGTCCTGGACTGTTTTCTATTGCCTTTGCTTTGAAGTGTCAGCTTTCTGTGAACCCTGCTAACATTTTATTATTGCATTAAAGCTGAGGCAGAGAAGAGCAATTAAAGGGTTGACATCTTTGCTATTTTTTAATAGTACGTGTCAAAATGCATTTAACAAATCATAGTTCATGCAAAAGCCCAATTAATGCTAAAATGTAAGTAGAGTCTATTTCAGTTGGGAGCAAATGAGAGTTTTAAAATGTATAATAACAAAAAGTGGTTGCCTTATTTTAGATATAGGACATAAGTGCAACTCCTGTTTTTGAGAATTGAAGTCTTAAAGCCTAAATATTCCTTTCTGTTCCAGGATACAGCTGGACAAGAAAGATACAGGACCATCACTACAGCCTACTACCGAGGAGCCATGGGCTTCATCCTCATGTATGATATCACCAGCGAAGACTCCTTCAATGCAGTGCAGGACTGGTATGAAATACTGTTGTTGTTGGGTTTGTTTGGTTTTCGGCCAATTCTCACCATTTTTTTGTTGTGAACATTAGACATCCCACCCTCCACAGTGCTTTGCATCACGATATTCTTTCCTCTTCATCTGAACTCTGGGATAAATGACTTGTTTTTTAAACTCTCCTTGAAAAAAGTTCTACAGCTTCGCTTTAATGAATAAGTTGTAATTCAAATGTAGTAGCATACTATAGCAGTTGTTGCTTTTAGAAATTCTAATTTATTGTAAATAAATTAATTCTTTAATGCATTATTTGGGCTTATGAGGTTTCTAGCTATTCTGCTTAAACAATCCAGTTTAACAGTGGTTGCTCAAGTCAAATCTCATTTAAAATCTAATAAGGCTAAATCTTTCCAAACTGCCTTAAAAAGTGGTGGTTTTTTGCTTTTTTTTTTTTTTTTTTTTTGAACCAACAAGTCTAGAATCATGGAACAGTATTCACTTTGCCTAACTTGAGATAATTAAAAACCTGACTTTATCCATTTAAAACTTGTGGAGTTAAAATTAGTTGTGGTTGTAATAAGAGGAGAAAGAGGAACGTCTAGGACAGAAAGCAAGCATACCTTTGGAAGGGGTCTGTCTGTTACCACTGACAACAGAAAGCACCTGAAAATCTCTGTAGGGCAGCGCTCAGTGTGGGATAATGGGATGGGGGAGAAGGAGTTACCTATTAAATGGTATGGGTGGCATCCTCTCAAAGGGACACCAGACTTTGTGTAGGAAATAGAAGGCGTGGGGAGGCAGGGGAAGGGCCGTGTCTGTCCTCAGAACTAGTACCTCAGTAGCTCCCCTCAAATGTCTTGCAATCATTTCTGTTTGTTGCTGTATGCTGCAGATAGTTATGGTCAGCATGCCAAGAAAGGCTGTCTCCACCTTCACCCCATCCGCAGCATTGCAACACCATGCTGCAGAAGGTGAACTGCAGCACCTTCCCTGAGCTGTCCTTCAGCAGCTGATAGCGGAATAAATTCTTTCCTTGCTAGAAACACAAACCCAAAGGCTTTGCCAAAACCAGGTTCCTCCAGGTTGCACACCCTCCACCAAGCTGAGATGAAGCTGTTTCTCCAAGTGTTTGCACAGGGATTTTTTCCATAGGAGGCACGTTAGCTAGGGCAATATCTTTCACTAAACTATCATAGAAACTGTAGAGCTATAAATACTTTCAGCTGTGTTCCTGTTGAAACAAGGTATATATGACCGGTTCATCTGTCTGCCTGCTGATTCCTCTCTAATACATTTCACTCATCAGTCTTAACTTAGCAAAAAAAACCTCAATCTGTGAGCTGAGATACTATTTTAAAGTTTACACAGGTGAAGTTTAACCTGCAGCTTTGTATAGGAGATGGTCTAACATTGGTACCATCAAAGGTAATGATGCAAGAGTGCAAGAATTAGGAAAGGTTGGCTTTGACTTAGCGTCTCCCTGTGCCACAGGGGCTGCCTGACTTTGCTAAAAGCACCTTGTCACCCAGAGGACAGAGGTGAAACATCACTGTGGTTTTTGCGCTGTATGTCAGGAGTCTTTCCAATCATCAATTTGAAGATTCTGAGCCCAAGTGATGTCGTGGAGCAAATAAAATCGGGCTGTAGTAGCCCATTTCCATCCTTTCTGAAGCTTGTGCACCGATGAGGACTGTAGCAAAGCCAGCATTGCTGTGCCAGTAGAGTCCTCTAGTGGTGATGCAGCCAAGAGGTGTTTTTTTTCCCAGCCTGCAAAACTGCTTTCTAAACTTCCAAAGGGACAAGCAATGGAAACAAAAGCTTTTGTCTAGTGTTGGTGCTGCTATGTCAGCCTCTGCCATTTGCTAGCATAGCAAGTAGGTAGAATTTTTGTGGTTTTTTGGGGTTTTTTTGTTTTTGTTTTTTACCATGCTGGGTGGTACAGTTATGCTTCAAAAAAACATTACACTGGATCTAGTCAGGAACTGTACTCTCCTTGGAAAATTTAAGGTGTCTGCTATTTGAGCTCCTTTTGCTTAACGAAGCTGTTACCCTTCAAAGTGTTGGTTCTAGATTCCCAGGAAATGGCAAAGTTGCAAGCTGTTTTTCACCTTGTAAAGAAAGTGTGTGGCCTGATACATGTTGCCTCTCTGCTTACAGAGGTTTAAGTGAAGCTACAAAAAACCACGCTAGTTCTAAGACCATGCATCCACTGACACTGAAATTAAATGGGGCATCCATCTAGAATATATATAAAACTAACAGCAGAGCTCATCCCAGGTCTTCTTACCTCTTGTGAGTTTCCAGAAATTACAGCAATTAATCCTACACATTCTTTCTCTCTTTTAAGTGTCCTGCTATCCTAGCTGGCTACTGGTGTGTTTTTCATTGTCCAGCTACAGTAAATAAAGAATACTGTTAAGTTGCATATTTTCTCATAAATGCAGTTTGACGCAGCAGACGTGGAGAATAAATCAGCAATACTCAGTTAATGTGAATTAAATCCAGTTGAAGGAACCTGTTAACCTTCCCTTTTATTTCTAAAATAGCGTGTGTGGATGGAATTTGAGTGTTTCTCTGGCATAAAAAGATGAGCCGTCTGCCATGTGATCATGGGACTGGGTTCATAAAGCAAATGCAATCAAGTTTAGGAGGATACCTCAAGAAAATAATCAGCAAATAAAATATGAAGTGATGCCCCTTCCACTAACTTCTGGCTGCTTTCCATCCCAGTCCATTCTCACCGGCTGGTAAGAATTTCCCACCTGAACATAATTCCTGGATCCTAAAATTGTACCCATTCACCAAGCCTTGGAATGTGTCAAGTTGTGTACAGCAGTCATTTATGTGTTTTACAGTAGGACTACAGTCTGAAGCTTCTTCCTGGTGCCCTGCCTGTTGCTGTTTAGTGATTCAGGTTTTTTAAGATGGTGTGTAAGCAGGCTGTCAACATGAGTCTTAGCCCATCTCACTGCCTTCTCTTGTACCATCTCTTCCTGCAGAGTTCCCTTCAGAAAACAAGCCAAAAGCATGAAAAAACAGCTGAACCCGACACCTAGCACTCCAAGTAAGCTCTCACCCATGACAAACTCCTACGTTCTGTTGAGCTCGTAGGGGTGTGCACAGATCTCAAAATTCATCTTCATAATTACACTGAAATTATGGGAAGGTAGCCTTGTGCAAAGTCAGCTCTCCATCAGAGAGAAGTCTTCTCCCTCCTAGACCTCTCCAGCATCTTAGTGCTTATATCCTCCCTCTAGCTGGGAAACTGCTAAAACAGGTTGTGCTCACTAGCGTTCTCCATGCCTCTTCATGAAGCTCTGACTTCCTCTCTAAAACTCCCTCTCATGTATGTATGGTGCAGTTTACCTCTCACCTCCAGCTCATTGGCATGCGACAGTATTAACAGCCTCCTGCCCTGGCCTCACCTGGGGAAATGAGAATATTTCTTCCAGTCTGCCATATGATTTCTTCCTTGGGTGATCTTTTTACCCCACTCTTCTTATGGGTGATGTCCTAAAGAGGATTCTAGTTTGTTCTGTGTCACCCCAGAAATACTTCTCCTAAACTATGTAAAGGCATCCTTTCTCCTGAATGAGGAGGATCGTGGCTGTGTATCAGGTATTTAGAAAAGCTCTTGAGGTAGTAGATGAATATGAGGTACAGGCTTTCCTTCATTCACATGAATCACTCTAATTAATTATAATTCTCTTAAAGCATCTGAGAAAGAGTAAAATACACAATTTAAATGCATTTGGGAATATCTAGGACTTGACATGCTCTCTTGTTTCTTCACTGGGAAAGGTACAGCAGATTGTAGAAGAAGCCATAAGAGATTAAGCCTGAGTGATTTTCCTTACTGCCATGTGGCAAGAGTACAGTCAGGTAATTTTAGAAGCAAAAGCCTAAATGGGCAAAAGCAAAGATGGATTTTACCTGATATTTGAAAATAACTAATTATTTTGTTTGAATAATAGGATGTCTTTCCCATAGGGTGAGTGAAAGGGTTAAATGACCTTCCATGGCTTTCAGCTCAGTTTCTAGATTTGTTTAGTAGGCTCCTTTGACAGTTATTACTTGACATTGGCTTGTTAGTTTTGTGTGTAGATGAATCAGTGGTTTATGCCTCATTTGAAACTGTACTGCAACTAGAATATACTCAGCATTTGATACTGGAAAGTAAATAGAAAATATTATGGAAACTCTGCTTTAGACAATCTAGACAATTTCATAGAAGGGAAGAAAAAAATTGGTTAAATTCAACTTAGATTTAAATGGTAGCTGGGTTCGTTCACAAAACATCAGCTTTATTTCTCTTTAAGGCTGATCTCCAGATGAGGTTGTTGATATATCCATGTAACTGTGAACCTGAAACTATTTTTCTTCTAAGCATACACTATAAAAAACATGCTTTATGGTTAATGAGGGGAATTCAGCACAAATAAGGCACAGCATTGTTATTGTGTCACAGAAACACAGAAATAGTGTGTCTATTGGACTGCCCTGATGGGTGCTGAAACATCTCAATTGCACAAGCCTATTTATTTATATATTTATTTACCTTTCCAAAAGCTTCTGGAAATTTGCTGCCTTTCTTTTTGTATGGGGATCAGGGTTTCTTTTAGATGTTCTTCATGACTTTTGGTTGGTTGGTTTTTATTCCTAATAGGTGTAAATGTCGGTGTTCTGTGAGAGAGGTTTTTCACTAACTGGTACAAAACAAGAAGGATGAGTTTCTGTGGGACATCCTTCATGCTTTTTTCTTCTCTTTTGTTTTCTCAGTAATTCTGTTTCAATAGCTAAGATTTGGCAGTGTGTCCCCATACGACCCCCCGGGGCTGAAACGAATCCAGTGAGAGAAGTGGGAGTCAGAAGAGGAGCCTGGTTATAGGTGTTTTAAATTGAACCTCAAGAGACTTTCTCTCTGTTGCCTATGGAGGGAGACTGGGGAGATTTCATCTTCCTGGGCTGTGGTTGATTTCTGAGGTCATCCCTTTCTGTGATGAGCCTTGAGAAACCCCAGAGTACTGCAGAAACTCATCACAGGCTCACCTTAGCTCTCACAGGGCATGGAGGCACTCCGAAGTATGAAAGTGAAGGAACCATTTGGGATTTGAGTGTGTCTTTCCAGGAGGACACTAAGGAGAATAAGAGTTTTCACTGCACAAAGTCCTTGATTATTTGTATGGGTCTGGACGGGTGCAGCAGGCTTTGTGTAGGTTTGTTTTCCAGTGCAATCCAAACAGGCTGCTGCTGCTTAAAGACAAGTTGCACAGTGAAATGAGCCCCTTTTGCATAGGTAGCTGTGGAGTAACATGACTGCTCTCCATGGAACAGGCAAGTAAGCAACTCAAACTAATTAAAAATTATCAGTAGATCAGAGCTTGAGGCTGCTCCTCAAAAGAGAAGGGATCAAGTGCTTTATTGTTAAGGGAGTTCAAACAAACTAAACAGAAGTAAAATCTGCGGGCACTCCGGGATCTCCTGGGAAATGGCAGGTTTGCCTGAAACTGTCGTGTCCTGTATGGAGGGGTGACGAGTAGGGATGAAGGGTGGGAAGGTGAGTTAGGGACTGGAGGAGGGGTGGAGGAGGGAAGGAGTGTATCGCTTCTGGCAGAGCAGCCTAATTACCTTTGGGAAGGAGGGACTGGTAAAAGATAGAGCTGACTTGGTGAAGATAAAATAGGTTGGGCCAGTCTGAAAAAAGTGGATGAAAATGAATGCTACCAAGCTAACACTGTTCTGCTGCTGGCTCTGTGACACCTCACCGAGGATGGTGGGAAAGGACTGGTCCCACAGGATAAATAGAAAAAAAAATCTTCTGCTTTGTCATAGAAAAACTATAAAGAGGCCAAATGTACGGTTCCTGTGATCCACAGCTAGCTCCACTCTAGTTTCAGCACATGAGCCACGGAGAGCTTTAGAGGCTTTAAGTTCATCCCAGTGCTCCTGCTTAAGCTCCCAAACGCTTGATCCCTCTGTCATTTAAGCTAACATTTGTCTGATACTTGCCGTCTGTCATTGCTGTTTCCTGCCTTAGGTATCAGTTAATCCTGCTGGGTTCAAATATTAGCTCACAGACCCTTACCTGGATCCCATATCTCCCCAGTTTGGTAAATTTCTATTTCTCTTTAGCAGTAGTTTCCACCTTTCTGTGTAGTTTTCAGCCTTCATGAACCAGTTTTCCTGTTCAAGCAAAGATGACTTGATGCTTCTGTCTGTTTGACTCTCGAAACGCAATTTCTTATGGTGTTACTAAAAGCCTGCAGCAAATGAGCATCTTTTCCTGTCTGCTCTGAGTTATTGCTCTGTGTTTTACAAGAAGTTGTAAATCTAGCATTAAGTGTGTCTCATTGTATGGCTTTCTCTATAGGGACAATATCCTTAAGAGATGTAATTGTCGTTCCTCTGACAGATTACAGCTGAAGGACAATAAGCTTTAGAAGAACGCTTTTTTGTCTCTAGGCTTCAAAAATTATTCAATTCAGCTTTTTGTCTGGATCTCATGATCTTTAAAACACTTGCAAATTCTTAAAAATAAACTTTATGGTCACACAAAGTTAAGGAGTAGTAAAATAGAATGGTGCTGTAAGTTACACAGTGTGTTTTCCTGCCTTATGTGTAAGCTTGGTCATTTGTCTTCTAACCAATATACAATCTTGAGATGTTGATGTTGTTATTAATGGTACTTTTTAAAATACTTAATATAAAATTGCATTTTGGCACAGCTGATGGAAGGTAACAATCTTTTTTTGACTTGCTGTAGGGCCACACAAATCAAGACTTACTCCTGGGACAATGCACAGGTGATCCTGGTCGGAAACAAATGTGACATGGAGGATGAGAGAATTGTTCCTGTGGAAAAGGGGAAACATCTGGCAGATCAGCTAGGTATGTGTCAAAGCTTTTCTTTCTACTGTTTTTCCTCTGCTTCTTTATACTGTTTTCCTTTTAGTTTGTACAGTTAAAAGTCCTTCCAGCAGTAATACTGTAATAATGGTATCACAACTAAGAAGCGTAATATAGTCTAGGTCCATATTTTACTTGCTTAGGGCTGAATACAACCTTCTTGTAGTGTTGCTGTATCTGTAAAGCTAATATCTAAGGACGTAAGGAAGATAGTATGTCTGGAGAGAACAACTTTTATTAGCTCAGTAAAGTGAAAAGAGAAAAAGTTTTCATAAACACAATTCTGTCGCCAGTTCTCTGAGTACCATGTAGTCATTTCCCAAATGCAGACATTGATTGTTGTACAATTTTTTTTTCAACTAAACAATGAAAAAGGAAGTTTATACATCAGAACTGTAGAGTTGAGTAAAATATATTTTTAAAATGTACCAGGCTTTTCTATCCAGGTAAGGAGATGACATTGTTATTGATGTGGGATACAAAAGGCAAAACAGTTCCATTGAGAGGAAGTTTTGGAATGAACAGCAAAATAAACTCATCCTAATTTCTCATGTATTTATAATTTTTCATTATATATCAAAGCATATATGTTATGTTTAATATGGAATCAGAGCTTCTCTGTTAAGATTTAGCGATACTGTCAACATCTTTTAAAGAATTTATAGTGGCAAGTAAATTCTGTTAAAATGTAATTCAGTTAACAGCAGATACCCTTACAGTGGGCATAGTGTACATATCTGCTTAGCTCGTAAGAGTAGAGATTCTTACAAGACCCAAAGGAATCACCATCATCCCCAATTTACAAAATCCTACGTTGTCTTCAGTTCTTAAGTAGCAGCTGGAGGATGCACAATACATTGTTAAACTGGGGGTACTGAAGTTCCAGTACACACTGCATACATTGCTGTAGTTTAAAGTGTAACCCTGATCGAATTGCCAGTTATGGTTAAATCCTAGATAATGAATATTTATTAGTTGGGAGTTTTGTTGTTTTGTTATTTTGGACCTGTGTGATATAAACAGAAATATGATAATAATCTGTTCCAAAGAATTAAGAGCAATCAGATTATTTTTTACGTTTCACAAGCAAAAAAAACAAGCACGTCTGCAAAGGCCCACGGGTGTAGAGCCTTCAAGAGTAAATCCTACATGTGCTAAGCACAAAGAGGTCCTATTCATGACAGGAGCCTTGAGGCGCTGACATAGTAAGCAAATACCAAACTAAAGCCTCTAATTTCCCATCATTATTATTATTGTAATAATAATTCTTGACACGTAAGTCTAGCAAAGCAAACAAAGACACGGTTAGTTTGCAAAATCAGTTATGGGCTCTTTTCTACACATCAGAATTTGATTTGCTTTTGAAAATACGAATGTGAATAAACTCAGTTCCTGGCTTGCAGACTCTCAAAGCCATTGTGAATGCACGTGTGCCCACATGTTTTGCAAGAGTGATTACACTGTCAGTAGTTGAAAATTTGTCCAGAACAATGCAACAGCAGAGTGTTTCAGTGGAACTCCCACTCCTACTTGGACTTCTCATGGTTTTTTTCCCTCCAAAATTCATCTGTTTGCTTAAATACAAGCCTAGCATCTAGAATCTGAATCTTTTACATATGGGACGCTTCAAAACACACATGTGCCTGGAGTTACCATAGCAACTGACTCCATCAGTAGGAAACTGTTCCGCTGAAGAATCCCCAGTTCTGCCCTGACCTGTCCTTGCACTCGTCCAGCTCACCTTGCAGAAACATACTCCAGTGCAGCACAAAACAAAAGCTAACCATGCCTTTGGAAAGTGCTCTCCCAGTCCTCCTCTTCTGTTGCCTCCCAGCATACTAATGCTCTTTTTAAAAGGGCTGAAAAGATGTATCTGGTTTTATCAGGCAGTTTTTCTTTATATGAACTGTGCTAATGTGTACAGCATTATCTGAAATCACTTTGGGTGTTAGGTGGGAGGAATCTCTTTAATTGACTATCGACTGCTTAAACTGCTAGCTTTCATCAGAACTATTCACATAAAGGTTATCCTTCAGCGTGTTTATCTGAGTTTGTATAGTGACATTAACATAATTGAAATAATTTCCTAAATAGATTAAGAAACTGAACATGAACTAAACCCAAACAGATTCAGCCCCAGCAGAAGCTACAGCAATGCTGGACTGACAAATATCCAAGTTCAGTTCTCTGATTTCTTGTGCCTTTTATATATATTTTTAATCATCATCAAAGACAGCAAGCGGGGCATACAGAACCCTCGTCTGATGCAGGACAGCTGTCCATATTTAGTAATGAGGCAAACATCTCCACCATCAATCACTTCACCCATTGTCCTGTAATTTTTAAAGTGTTCTAATGGGGTAGATACCTACTTGTTATCTCACACATTGAGGTGACTCAGTCTACCAGCAGTGGCGGACTAATTGTTTAAGACTACTTATCTTTCCCTTCGTCTGTGGCAGATTCAAAGAGAACTGATGCAATGCAGAATATTTCCAAAATGAAACACAACAGAATGTAGCTTATTGCAAAATAAACTCTGTGGTGCATGAGCTCTCGCTGTTGGCTATATAATAACCTGGTGAAACAGAAGAAATATCCATTGTAAGTGATGGTTGGCTTTTGAGGCCCCCGGGGTTAGAAAGATTAAGAAATGCTTCCCAGTTCAGCGTGTTTCTGCTGGCTGAGGCAGGGTTCAGGCTTGTCTGTGAACAGGCTGGTCCCTGCGTCGTGCGGGGTGTCAACGGGAGGCAGCAGGAGTAGCTGTCTGTGCCATCCTGACCTTGGTGTAACTCCAGGCTCGCTGAGTTTTTTGGTTTTTTTAAATCAGACAGGCTCAGTGTTTGAGAATCCGTACTCACCACTGCAGCTAGACTGGTTACTCTGTAGGAGGCACACAACGTTATTTGTAATTTAGCAGTGCTGAAAGGTGCTCTACCGTGAACACCGATAGTGATCGTAAAGTGGGACAGTTCAACTCCCTTGTCCTGGGTTTATTCAGACCTGTATCATCTGCAGATGTGTTTACCAGGGCAATGGTAAAGTTTTATTTATGCCTTTGACTCTTATTGATGCTTGATAAATTTTAGAAGTGTTTCTGCTCAGTGTTCTGAGGTTGTGGGAATCAACTGAGCTTAAGAATTGTCTAATGTCTTGTGTTCTTAAGGTCACTTCTGAAAAAACGGTTACTATTTTGAAAACCATCTCCATTATCATCAGTTTCTAGTGATTTTTTTTTTTCACTTTTTCTCACAGGTTTTGACTACTTTGAAGCTAGTGCCAAAGAAAACATCAATGTAAGGCAGGTGTTTGAGCGTCTCGTGGATATAATCTGTGAAAAGATGTCGGAGAGTATAGAATCAGACCCTTCCAGGGGCACTTCTGGAAGAAGCATGCGACTCACAGACAACCCGCCCCCTTCGCAGCAGAACTGCTCGTGCTAGTGACCTTTCTCGCTGAGAAATGTCCTTCTCCTTTCCTCACTAAATTTTCTCTTTTCATTTGTGGTGGTGCGTTATCATGTAGTCCAAAGACAGAAGTCTCTGTTGTAGCAAATTGGTATGTTTGTTTAATGTGCTGAAGTGTTAATATTATATATTTCTTCATCCAATAATTTAAAAAAACCCTGACTAAATATTGTAAGTGCACCTAGTGTTAATGTGAGTTACACTGGAGAAAAAGAATTGTATAATGTTGCAAATGTTATTTCTACAGAGAATGTTGCATTTTTAATTATAAATTCCTCTACTGCAGAAAAAGATTTTTTGTCAAGAACAGCAGGAAACATAAAAACCCATCAGAAGGGACCAGGTCTAAAAGAAAACAGGGACAAAAATCTCTTATAAAGCAAGAATACGCCTTTTTTTTTTTTTTTACATTAAAAAAAAAATCTGTCCTCAGATATTTTGAGTCATTGTTGCTGTCCTCCAGACGCAGACCTCAGCTTTTCCGTACGATGGAGCAGAAAGCAATGTATTTTAGTCTTGACAGTTTGAGGTCCTCCAGACAACCAAGAGCACAGGGGCTGATTTTGTGTCAAGCCTTTGTATGGAGGAAGAGCACATGGAGGAATCAAAGCTGCCAGGCAGGGGAGGAGTAGGAGAAGTCCTTGCAGCCAGACCTGCGTTTCCCTGTGCTCTTGGCTGGTGCTGGGTGAAGAAGCAAGAGCCCTTCCAGGGGCTTCCCTTGCCTGTAGCCTTCCCCACAGTCACCAGTAACGGCTTGTCGAGTCCTGGGGTGTTGTGTTGGCACCTTGCTGTGTCCAGTGATTTGTTTTTAGAAGCCCAAGAGCCGACTGTCCTGCAGCTTTTCCCCTGTATCCTGTAGCTTTACATCTCCAGGTTTGGATCTCTTCTGATCAAGTGCTTAATGGTGGATTTGTTGCAGGACGGAGGAAAAGAGGAATTGGCATCTGAATGCTTAGTTGGAGGCAAAACCTGACATGTAAGGCTTGGAACAGCACTGTCTCCAAAAGATAAAAATATCAGGAGCCAAAATGTGAGTGTTGGCAAATATTAGTGCCAATAATACTAAATTTTCTTTCTGCATTTTGTTGTTGATTTATTTTTAAATTTTGTTCTAGATGGGTGTGTGCGTGGGGATAATTTTTCTCGTTTCAGATTCAAAGTATAACTTAAAATAAGGAAGATAGATTGATTAATAAAACATAACTGCAACTGAAAAATGGCAAAGACCTCCTGTTAAGAGTTATTCTATGGACATATTGTTGCATCATTCTTTGAAGGAACAATTTTTAATACTTAACATCTAAAATATTCTTATACTTCCAACATCTCTAAAAATTACAACACTTCTACATCTGCGTGTAGAATTCTGCGTTAGCCACATGCAGAGCTTGTATTTCTCTGAAATATATGGAGGAACCGCTTTTGCCAATCTGTGAAATTACACTGTATGCCTTTGTGATCACACACTTGTTTGTGCAGCTCCAAGCAGTGACTGCAAATTGTGTCTGTAAGCATAAATTAGGTGGATACAGACAGTTTGCTGTCTTGAGGTGAAAATTCTGAAAAGTTTTATGGCTTTACCTTTGGCCTATGAACTCCTCTGACTGAGGAGACTTTCTGATGTCAGAAACTGGATTCGAGTGTGTGCCCACCGCACTGTAATTTGCTGGATCATGACGCTAGTGAATGCTTTTGTAATTTCATTCCGTTATGTCTCAAAGTGTAATAGTTCTAAGAAAAGAGCACAATGTTCTGGAGAAAAAATGCGACTACGTGGACGTAGTTTGAGCTCGTGCTAAAGGCTTGATCCCTTTGTATGTTGCTTTCAGAAATCTTTACTGTGACGTATTTTGGGTGTGTGTGATCTAGTACTGAAAGTGCGATTTGTGCAGTGCTAGGAATGTGGTCATTGCATCTAAACCCCCAAAACTGGGAAATAAAGAGAAATGTAGTCACCGGGTGTGGCCAGAGAGCTTGTGTGAGCTGCGTTACTAGCGGATTAGGCAATCGTGTGCACGTATAAAGAAGGGATCTTTTTAATGCTTTTAAAATACATCAAACTATATTGACAGGGTGATGATCCTTGAGCCCAGCAATCGGGAATCACTGTGCAGATTTAAAACAGAGCAAAGAAAAGGATTATTTGGCCAATAAATGTGCAGTGCAGTCTTCTAATTGTAGCAGAAGCAGGTTTTAGGGCAACTTGTGTAACTAGCAAAAAGAAATAAAAATTTCCACAGCAGGGAGCGGTGACTTTGAGCTGTGCAGATATAATGGAGTACCTGAGCACAAATAATGATTTTTCAGCTCAGTAACTCAATAGTAAAAGAAAATGGATTCAGCAGAAATAGAATTCCAATTCTTTTTTTTTTCCTAGCAAAAAAGACCTTTCCCTTTTCTACCAATATATAATTGTGTTCCTGTCAAGTCAGATGTAATTTTAATTTTTTTTTAAGAAGAATACATGTACATTCTAGGCCCTTCAACCTAGGATGGGCAGAATATTTTTTTTACAGCACAACCCAGCAAGTAGCTACATGGCAGCATAGTCCGAAGAACTGGAGAAGACAAATTCTGCCCTGCCCTATATTGCATGCATGGAGAAACCTAGTATTTGGTGCAGAAATCCTGCAGACTTTATTTCAAATAAGGAATCAAATCATCACAGGCAACTGACACACCTCTCCATTGATATATACTTAATGTATCTCGACATCTTACATTTGCATTAAAAGCTGTGCATGAATACAGAGAAAGCCTTTTGCCTCAAGTGGCATGCAGCCGATTTCAGTATCACCAGTGAGTCAACAGTAATTGTCACTTGTATGGACTTGTAACAGGCAATGGCAGAATGCAAGGCATCATTTGTCAGGGCAAGGGAAGTAACAGACTTGCTTGCACCAAAGAAAAATGCAAAATTCTTGATGTGGTTTCTTACAGAGCCTTCCATCTGACTGGCAGTGGCTTAGGATAGTAGTGCTGATAAAACAGTATGGTTACAAGATAAAAAAAGGGGTACTAAATGTGAAAGGAAAGAAGTGTCTGCTCTTCACAAGCTTCTCCCTGTGACTTGTACAATTCAGCCCTGCATGTGCAGTTCTGCAGGAGAAGCCATACAGGAGGCTCTGGGTTACACGTGGGTCTTGGCTTCCATCTTGTGGAGAAATAAAGTTCTAAAATATCAGGTAGACATTCAGTCTGAAATATCATCCTCGACAGTCTAAATTATCATCCATGCATCTCAGGCAGCCCCTCTCATTTGTATTAGCCTTTGATCCCTTAACTTTGCTCTCGTTATATTTTGCCGTCAGCATAAATTTACACACACGCACAAAATGGCAGCAAGTGGTGCTACAGGAAGAGCAGAAAACTGCGCAGATGTGGAACAGTGCAAAGGGAGGTGATAAATACAAGGGCAAGCTTCCTAACAGCTCTCGAAGCGTTACAAGAAAAAGTATCTTGGCAATGTATGCCATTTTGGAAATGCCAGCTTCAGACATGTAGGACAAGAGGAAAAGCAGCTTTCCTGTTTGGAAAAGGAAAGGAAAAGGAAAGGTTTGAAACGGCCACCTCAGTGCTGCAGTTTCACAGGGGGGAAAGTATATTGGAAAATGCCGAGACCTACTGAACTGCACAGACGAGGCCTTATCAAGAATAAACACTTTTCTGTTAAATAGTCATGAGTACAAACTTTAAGATATTAAGGATACCATGATAGGAAGAAAAAAAACATTTAAAAAATCAGCAGCCACCAGTAAGCTCGTACTGGATCTCTCAGAAGACCAGCGGTACTGGTGGTTGAAATAAAACTGCAGACTAGTGCTCAGCTCACTTAGCCGTTGAAGAATACCAGCTGAAAGCTGGTTTGCTCTCAAACCAACAGCATGGTCAGGTGTTCTGAACCCCAAGAACAGTCACATTTCTTTAAACCGTTTCCGTGTGGTTGCGTTTGGTGTTTCCAGTGGCCACTGAGGGAGGCCAGGGACACGACCCCGTTCCTCTGTGCCAAGCTTTGGTGTCGAGTTCAGCGTGTTGGGCTCGACCCAACCATCACTCTCGGAGCTGCTGCCGGCGATGCCTGCTGGGGAGCTGGGCTTGTGGACGGGCTGTTGGCGGTGGCACTTCGCCAGCTCGTTTTCCACCCACACCAGGACGCACCCGCCACACCTCTGCCAATAGCCCCACCCTGCGCTGAGGTGACTGCATGTGACACGACGTGTGAACGTGAGCTGGCAGTCTATGGAGTTGGGGTTTGGCAGGGAGGTAGTTCTACAGCATGTTCTAGATAGCTTTGTGGTTCCAGAACAGGTTCTAGACAGCTTTACGGTCTAGATCTTATTCTAGCGCTCATTCTAGATTTTTTCCTTTCTTTTTATCTTTTTTTTTTTTTTTTTTTTTTATTCTGGATAGCATTCTAGATCTATTTCTAGAGCCCATGCTAGATTGCCTTATGATTCTAGATGGCATTCTAGAGCTCATTCTAGAAAGCATTGTTGCTATAGATGTCATTCTAGATCTAATTTCTATAGAACTCTGTGATTCTAGATAGCATTCCAGATCCAAGTCTAGAGCTCATTCTAGGGGGGGGGAAATTTCCTAGATCCTGTTCTAGAGATCATTTTAGATCACTTTGGGATTCAAGATGGAATTCTAAATTCTAGAGATAATTCTAGATATAGTTGTGGTTCTAGATGGTATTGTAGAGCTCATTCTAGATAACTTTATGATTCTAGGCGGCATTCTGGAGTTCACTCTAGGGCAGGTTCTATATAACTTTGAGGTTCTGTATAGCATTCTAGACCTGATTACATGAGCTCATTTGCTTTTAGGGTTCTAGAGTGAGTTCTAGATAGCTTTATGGTTCTAGATGGGGTTCTATATCTCTTATATACTAGAGCTCATTCTAGATCACTTTGTGATTCTAGATAACATTCTAGATAGCATTGTAGATCACCTAATGATTCTAGACTATGTTCTAGCTCGCTTGTTGGTTCTAGATCGGTTTCCAGGCTGGCTTAGGGCTCCACTGGGTTCTGAGGGGGGAGCACCTAGTGCAGGCAGCTGTTTTGGCATCTCACAAGGATTTGGAATACTTGCTGATGATGAGAGCAGTCTCACTGGGTTTTTTTCCTTTCTTATTTCATTTTTTCGCCTTGCATGCTTTTTCTCTTCTTTGTGGCTCTTTTGAGTTGAAGGCCTGTAGGATCATCCTATAAACTGCAGCTCTCACCCTGCC